GAAAGAATTTTCTTAGGACAGAGCTATAGTTCAGTACAAAGACACCTTTGAGAGCTCCGGTTCTATGTAGAGCTTTGCTGACAACTTGGAATGTGGTGTGAGGAATGCACGATAGAGGCCTTCGGAAGCGCTAAGAGCACCCGGCCTGGAACCCAGAGAACAGGGCTGGGCTCCCACTCCAGCTCCCGTGGGCTGCGCGAGCCTGCTAGGGCCTCAGTTCCTTCCTCCATGGGAATAAGAAGCTGTACTCCTTCAAGGAGTTATGGGAGTTGGAGGACAGTAAGAAAATTATTTGGTAAAATAGCATATTTCTGGTATACCACAGATACTCCCCAAATTATGGGAAATGGAATCAGTTCAGAAAAATGGAAATAGAGCAATTTTCTTATCAAAAATTGACCTTTTATAATTAAAGTCTCCTTGTGGAAAGCCCCAGGGTTTTTGTGTCTTCTCTGTCTGACCATTGCTTCTGCAGTCCTGGGGATTGGATCCAGGGCCTGTGCGCTGAGTTAAACCCTTGGGCCTTTCAAAACGTTTTCTTCTGAGTCAGGGTCTCCCTAGGTCACTAAGCTGCAAGGCTGGGCTTGCAGAGGTCTTCCTGCCTCTGCCTGTAGGTCACAGGGGCGCCCCTCACGCCTGGCCACGCCTCGTTTCACGTGTTGGGATGCACCTGCAGCCTCTGCTGTAAGGAAACCAGGCAGTGACTTCCTGGAGGATTCGTGTCAGCCCTGCGACTTCTTGCTTTGCCTGGGAGAAGCCGCAGCAGGCGTTTCCTTGTCACCCTGCTCCGGGGAATTCTTCCAGCCCTTTCCTTCCCGGCCTCTTCGTCTTCACTTGAGCTAAACGCCTGCAAAATGAAAAGAGCTCCGCGCCCAACAGCCGGGCCTCGGGCTGGGCCTCGCTCCCGCGCGCGGAGCGGCCCCGGTGCGCGTGGGCTCGGGTGCTGATCGGCAGCCGGGAGCCTCACACGGCGCCCAGCACAGCAGCAGCGGCGGAAACGCGGCTGCCCGGCCTCTTTTTCTTTACTGAAGTAAGTGGACACTCTACCCACAGCGAGGGGCGGACACTCCGCCAGCGTTCTCGGGTTCCCAAGGGTGCGCCGTGGGTGCACTTCATCCGAGGCACGCCGTTGCCCACCCCTCCGGTGTGCTTGTTACCGTATTAGGGTGAGGGCGCCACCTGGGGGTGGGGGGATTCTCCAGGGTCATGAGAGGACCAAGATGGATTAGGAAATAATACGCGAGGCCTGGGGCTTGCACTGTGCTGTAACCATCGCCGCGCTTCTCCCAAGGCCCTGAGTTCACTCTTGTACAGTCTAGCTGGTGTTGGCGCCGCGTGGGTGCTCCAGGCTGGGGGGTCATCTACCAGGGAGAGGAACGTAGTGTTCTTCCCCTTAAGTGACAATACCGTAGATAGCATCCCTGAGAACCATTCAGGGAATTTTATGGATGCTATCCCTGTGACTCCTGTCAATTGGGTTTATTTGGAATTCATTTTTTTTCTAGACCTTTAGAGTAACATTTAATATCCTAAGGTAGGAGCAGGCTTATATACCTGTTCAGGTGTCTCCTGATGACCCCGGCAGGAGGGAGCCCTTCCTAGCAGCGGGGCCCCTTGGGGCTGTGTGTTCTCACCTGCAGACCTGTGCACGTGTGTGTGCGTGCTCACACGTGCACATGTGCGTGCACTGAGGATGGAAACATGGCCTCACCCCCAAACAGTTCAGCTGCTCTCTTCGAACCTCCAGAAAATGCAATCTCTGAAGTGAAAATTCAGAAAACGCCGGAACTCAAAGCGGGAGGACCTCCCCCCTACTTCTGTGAGAAGCCACAATTCTGGACTCCGGGGGGTGAGCAAGTTTTCACCCCCCTCATGGTTGCGCCCCGCCCTCTGCTCAATGTTTCTTGGTTCTGCCCTGAAGAATGTAGCCAACCCATGTGGTCTCTATGTCCTCTCCTGTAAGCTGAGATAAAAATGGCAGATGCAGAGTTGTGAGGCTTCCGCCAGCTGTGTGCGAGAAATGTACGGCAGGGATCACACGGCAAGCACCGTGCCTGACCTGGCCTGAGGTAGACCAGAGGAGGCGACTGCAGGGGCAAAGAAAACGGACCCCAGGTCAATCCACCTCTGCCTCTGGCTGATGGCTTAGAATGGCCATTTCCCTTTCCTCCTGAGCTCTGATTTTAAACACATTGGCTGTGAGAATAAAATCCGACGGCAACAGTTTCCTCACTGCAGAAAGCGCTCAGTGTGGATATGTGTGTGAAACCCTCCACAGGATGCCCAGGTTGCGGGAAGCGCTCCATCCTCCCTCCCTCCTCCTGCCCCTTCACCTCGCTCCCTGCTGGCTTATCCATTACCCTCCCCCTTCCTAGGCAGGCCTGCTCTCAGCCCTCCTCCTGCAGACATATTCCTTTCCTTCCTTCCTAAAACCCAAGCAACTTTATAAAATGAAAAACACTGTGAGTATTGTTGAGTCACCTTGATTTTTGATAGAGACAACCATGCACTATATAGTTAAGGTAATTACACAGTCAGTTATTAGGCCGATTATTCAATAATTAGGGTTCATTACAAGGACAGATTTATGTTATCTTGATTGGTCCTACATTCAAGCAAGCATGGCCTGAGTGTTGCAAAATCACCTAGCAAAATATTGGAAGTCCACGATGCCCTTTGTAGGGTAGGTTAAGTCATGATCTTATCCTCTGGCTTTTTAGCTGTTTGGTTGACAGATCATTTTCTGAAGAGTGTCTCCTTAGCCCATTCCAACGATCAGATTTTAGAAACGGTATTCACCTCCCCAGCCTTGCCCCCTCAGCAGCATGCCCTTCTCAGAACTGTGGGCAATGTTTTATCTGCTTGCCGGCCCCGAGAGGAACACCCAGCGGTGTGGCGTGATCTGTGGGCTGGCGAGTGGAGTGACAGCTTCTCCACCTCCTGCTGGCGGATGAGCACCCTTCACCAGGGTGGAACACTGCTGGGGCCCCAAGGAAGCCAGCACTGCCCTGGACATGTGTCCCGCGGGACGCGTGCAGCCAGCCCACAGGCCCTGCTCAATGCTAGGCCGTTATTGGCTCATAAGTGACACTGCACAGTGCCAAGCTGCCTGGCATTTTTATGATGCAGATTTTTTTAGTATGTTGAAGAGTCAGTCTTCTTTTTCAAAAATAACTCATGATATCTCTTTAACCTGGGTGCCTTGATTTCCCATGTGGTTTATACATAGGAAATTAATTACACCAGACTTTCACACTGTATACTGATGGCATAAGAAGACAGCTTCAGTAGCTACCTTGGGCTCCTCTGCCACTGCCTTGGAAGCTGTCCCTTGTGCTGACTTTCCTCCCTGGGGTCCCCTGGCACGGTGGCCTGGGGCTCTGGCTCTGGGGGCCCGCGGGTGGCACCTTACCTGCTCCTGCAGGTGGCTGATGCTTTCCTCATACTGGGAGTAATCTTTCTTGCTGCCGGAATCTCTGTCCTGATGCCACTGCAGGATGCGGCTCTCCAGCTTCTGGTTGGCAGCCTCCAGCGCGCGCACCTTGTCCAGGTAGGAGGCCAGGCGGTTGTTAAGGTTTTGCATGGTCTCCTTCCCAGTTCTGCCTAGAAGGGGACCACCCTTCTGAGATGTCCAGGCCCCTCCCATAGGCAAGCAGCTTGGCTTGGAGAAGGAAAGAGAGACGTGGACGCCCCCTGCACCGCCGTGGACGCTGCGGGCCCGGGGTGAGCTTCCAGGCCGGCCCCGGCCTCCTCCTGTGCCATGGAGGGAGGCTGAGTGGCTCTGGCTAAAGCTGCAGTTGGAGTTCATGGTCCCATCTGTGTTCTGGGCCAGGCTGGGTTTGGTCTGCTTCTTGGCAGCGGAGGACTGAGCTGCCCGGACCGCTCTGGATGGTTTTATGCCTTCTGCTGTGGGAGTTCCCTTCCCTGACAACTGTACCAACAAGATCCTATCGTTGTGCAACGTGTGTTTCCTCTTGGTCAATCTCGAGGTGCCCGAGGCCAGTGCACATTGTTGTTGTTTAGAACCACATCAATATGCCAGCCTGCTTCCTCCCCTCGGTGGAAACTTGGAGGCGTGGCCCACCACATCAGGTGGGATTAGTCTCAGGTATCTTTCTAATCTGGAGTTTTTCCATTGCCCATTTATTATGAAAAGGTCAGATCAAAGCTCACAAAAATGTTACTTGGCACACATTTTGCTTTTAAAAAGCAGACAGTAAACACATGCAGAGGCAGACAGATGAAACAGCTTTGCGGCTGTGAGGGGGAAGAGAAAGACTCTGAGAGTACAGCAGGGTCACCGGAGAACCTCAGGTCCTGGAGGGAAACTACTCATGCTATGGAAATGGAGATGGGCTGAATACACGATTCCTTTGTGTCGCTGTTGTTTGATGGCAAGCAATTTCAAAGGACTTACTCTTCAGAACAAACCCGCAATTAGGGCTGTAATTAATGAATGAATGGCCGAGCCTTCTGCTCGCAGGCCAACCTGCATCCCAGCACGCCTGTACGTGGGACTCCCACCGGCCCACATGGCAACGCAGGGGTGTCCCCCACCTGCAGCCCAGGCCCTGCTGAGCTGGGCTGGCTGGCTTCTGTGTGTCCCTGGCCCACAGACAGAGCAGCAGGGAGCAGGAAATGTGTCATGCGCTGTTGAGCGTGCCTGAGAAGTGTTATATTTCATCTGCTGGGAGAAAGGTTAGGGATGAATGAAGGAATAAAATACCCAAGCCAGAAGAGCTCTTGAACATTCTTGGTTGCATGAAACTAATTTTACAAGTGAGGCAAGCAGCCAAAGGGGCGTGTGGAGGGGACAAACCGTGAGCCAGTGAGGGGTCAAGCCCCACGAGAATTCTTTCACTGGCACTGTCACTGCTGAGGCAAATCACGACTGTTGTCTCACTGGACACTTCTCTTTCATAGTGAAGGTGGGGCTTCCCACTTCATGTAGCCCTGTGCTAGTCTTGCTCAACCACTCCCATAACTGCTGTCATAGCCACGCAAGGGCTGGTGTCCCTGCTTTGCACATAAATGTTCAGGGGCTCAGAGAAGCGAATGGTTCAGGGCTGAGCTGCACGTATGATGTAACTGAGTGAATTTGTTGCTGTCATTGTCCTGGTCAGGGCTGTTCCCTCAGCCTGGAAAGCCCCTACGTAGGCACACTACACTGTGAGGGGCACGCTCCTTCATAGTCATTTTCTGAGCTCTCCTGTGTGAGGTGGGTGCCCCTCTGAGGAGAGTCCTGCCCCGCCTTGATCTAGAGCCTTCCAGTGGGACGGACGCCTTGGCGTCCCTGCCCCACTGTACGAGCTGGAGCCCCACCTCCTGTGCCAGCCACATCGTACGCCCCACTTGTCACAAGCTTCTGCTGTGACGGCCCGGAAGTAGGGATTATGTCTTCCACCACTGGGGTACCAAAGTCTGGCTTCCTGTGGCATTTTATTTAGGTGTAGGTAAGTCAGTAATCAAGTTTTTGGAGCCAAGATTCAGAATGTGAACCCCGGTTCAGAATGTGAATTCCAGAACCAGGAAGCAGGAAAAAGCCTCTCTCAGGAGTGGTGAGTCACCACAAGGAGGGATGACCCCTTTCTAATTGCAAATAAAACGGAGAAGAAGGGACACTCCTGGCTCTCTTCTATCTGCTGCCCTAGGGCTTCTCTGCGCCGCCTTTCTCTTCCTCCTCCTCCATCTTCCCCCAAGGCTGAGGAGACAGCTTGTCTCCACACCCACCGGGCTCCTGAGCAGCCACCCTCCAGGGCAGTCTGATTCGTGGTACAGCGGGGCTGCCAGTGCGGTGCCCCCACTTCAGCCAAGATAGGGGGTTCCGGGCCGTTGTGAGCATACTTGGCCTCCTCAGCACCCCATACGCTGTGGCTACCAGGGCCAGCCTCCCCGAAGATTCCTCTGTTTCAGCCCAATCATTTTCCTCAAGGATGTAGCCCTGTCAGCCAGACAGCGGTCAGGTCAGGTCTCCTCAAGGGGAGGTGCCTGTTCTGCCTGACTATGAATGGAGCGGGGGAAATGAGCTTGAACCAATCAGCAGGCTCCAATCCAAAGGTTTGAATTGGTACCAATTTGGACCAATTAGCAGACTTCACCTCGGCCCAATCAGCGGGCTTGAATTAGGACCAACCACAGGCCTGCAGTGGCTACTATATTCCCCCCCCCCAAAAAAAAAGACAGTCTGCTCCAAAAGATAACTAGAACTTATTTCTAGGGGACGTCTAATTTTTTCATGCATAATAATCTACATTTGTTCTTGTACAACAATCTATACTTAGTCATGTACAAAAAATACATTTACTCACAGGTAGTCATGCCGTGTTCTTCTGGAGCGTCAGCTTAACTCTCCAAACCCTGAAATCTGGCCTGAATTTCTCGCAGCTTTATTGCCAGTAGAACCACCAGCCCCACCGTCTCGTGGCCAGCGGTGGAGCGCTGCTTGTGTAGTGTCTCCTGCCCACGCAGCCTGGCCGTAGCGCCCTGGCAAGGCGACTGTCAGTGATTTAGTCCCCTGAATCCTTCACCCAGCCGCAGCCTCTTGTAGGCGACGCTTCACCACGTTTCCACTAATTGAAGACTTAACAGATAGGAGACGCGACAAAAACGATGACAGTTAAGAATCACAGGTCCCACAGGAGTGACATAAAATGGCAGGCACCAAAACCCAGAAAACGGTTCTTAAGTACGTCTGTCCCAATACAAAGCATCAGATTGTGAAGGGCCACATTAGACACGTCACACCCATTCCTGAGCAGGCGCACGCGTGATCCTTGTGTCTCTGACTGGTCATTGGGCAGGAAGTCTTGGGTTCCTCTGTTTCCAGAGGTATTTTGCCTGTCAATCAAAGGCACCCAGTTGGGTGTTTACAAATACTTAATTATAATTGTATTATCATTTAAGTATTAATGCCAACAACATTATTTGTATCTAACTGTGCATTAACGTTATAAGCGTATATCCAGCGTGTGGTGCAGTGACTGTGTTAAACGTCTCCACCCAGCTGGTGTTCTGGGGCCCCTGGGGAGCGCTCGTTATAAGCATGCTGGGGCTTTCTTTCCAATTAGGTCTTACTTTGGCGAGAGTGGGGTGTACGAGTGGCACTCCCCTCCCGCCTCTCCGGTTGGCCTAGCAGGGCTTCCTCTGGTGCACCGACTCCCTGTCCTGTTCCCATGACGCCTCCCCTGGTGGGCCTGTGAGGCGTGACTCCTTTCTCAGGTGTCGTGTGCCTAGAAGGTGCTGCAGGTCTACTCAGGATCCAGGAACAGCAAACAAGGTGGCATCAACCGGCAGTGCCTGAGAGCCACGGCAGCCAGCAGTGGTAGGTGTCAGCTGGCAGAAACCAGCATGGACTCGTGCCAGCCAGTGGCCCAGGTACAGTTTCACTCTGCTGGCTATGACTTCTGTCTCAGTTGAGCAAGAGAACCTGTAACGAATCAGCAACAAAACTGTCAAAGCCAGCGTGCTCCTCCCGACCCTACCGCAGGCCTCAGCAAGGAGCGCCCTCTGGACTTCCCTCGTCTCCCTCTGCACACCCCAGGAAATGTTGCCACTGCTAAAGTAAGCCCAGGAAACGCAGGTGAAGAGGGCCTGTGGCCGCTCATGGGTCTGACGCGAGAGAGGGACTGAGGAAGAGCCGTGGCCCAGTGCTCCCTCCGAGGCTCGGGCTGCTTGCGAGGTAGGAAGGATGGGGCCAGGCAGCACCTTTGAGAGGCTGTTAGGTCTCGAGGGCTGTGGTCACAGAAATGGGCTAACCCTTGAATTAATGGGTTCTTGGGAGAGCGAGTCTGTCACAGAGGCTCGTCTGACTCTGTCTCTGTTACTGCACCCCCAGGATGATGTCCTGAACTGCTTACTGCAGGGCCCTGCCGAGTCCCCACCCACCAGAAGCCCTTTCCAAATGCCACCCCTTGGCCTTGGTCCTCTCCCCAGAGCTGTGAGGCGTGCACACTCAGCTATTCTGTCACAGCGGCAGAAGACAGGAGAAGGGGGAGGGGATGATGAAACGCAAGAAAGGAGGGAAACACCCTGCGCTGGTTGGACGCACGGCCTGAGCAGCGCTCCTGTGGATGCGGGTGGCTCCTGGCCGCTGGCTTGGACTCAGGTTCCTGTTCACATGGACCCAGCCTTATGCGGGAGGAGAAGTCACCCCAGGGTGTTCGAGGGCGACATACTGTCTGTCAACTTTCTTAGCAGAATCTGCCATGGAGCTGGTCATTTCCCTGCTAATTTCAGGTGTGTCGGAGAGCAGGTGACTTATTTGTCCTGTGAGTTTGGCCCAAGTCTCATTTATGTCAGCGTGTGGGAGTCTGGATTTATAGGAGTTAACCTGGGGCAAGTAGTTTCTTGTATTATACAGCAGGACCGGGTTTGGAAGAAATTGGTGGTGACATTTGGGAGGACTGGGGAAACGAGTCACTTCAAATGCCATCGTGCAATTAGCGCTTCTTTTAACTTCTGTGTGGGATTTGATTGGATTGGAAAAAAATGATAAAAGGGGCACTTTCTTATGAACATTCAATGAATACATGGAAGACAGGAAAAAATAGATTTAAAAAAATCCCAGTTCCACTACACAGACGTACTCACCAATAAAATTTTGTGAGCATGATTTCAGATACTTTTATGTGTGTACACTGGAAGACACAGCTATAAGAGTTTTGAAAAGATGGGCTTGTATAATTTATTTCATTTCAAAAAGAATTAAGCTAATTAAAACTGTAATTGACAAATAAACTAAAATATCGGATTGAAAAAAATGATGAAAGGGGCACTTTCTTATGAACATTCAATGAATACATGGAAGTACAGGAAAAAATAGATTTTTTTTTACATATTTTCTAAA